CCTACAGATCTGACCCCAGATAGGATTCCGAACGCCGAGATCCTCTGATCCTCTGAAGTTTTGTCTGCCTGAGAATGAAACAAAGGAGAATCAAGAGAAGTAGTTTTTGGTATAGTATAGTTTAAGTGAAGCTAAATACCACATAAGCAAGAGCAAGTGAAACTGTAGTGCCTTCTGAAACCATGTCTGTGAGAGTTTTCATGATGTAAAATGCATAGAAGAAGTTGGTAGTTCTTCTATAACCCATTATGGCTGCAAAATCATTCAAATCTTGTATCATAGCTAGTGATTTAACTTTATGATGAATCGAACTGAGATTTAACACTAAACTGACCGAGCGGTATGATTGAAAACGTCAATGGGATAGTCAGCATTGTTTTCCTTCCATATCTGTCTGATAGATTCCCAATTACTGGTGTTATCACCAGTGCTCCAAGCCCTACAATCTGCAGTTTTACAGCTCCTCGACTATTTTAGTCCTTTGTTATAGACAAAACACCATCATCTTCCCTTTTTCTTGAGTAGAACATGCAGGGGAAGGTTAAAATTTCCAATTTTTTGATCAAGCTAGTTCGACTATCTTTTAAATCATAAAAATCCCGGTGTGGGGTCGGTTTAAAGATCAAAACGCTTGAAGAAAAGTATCAAAAAGTTGAAAGAATCGGAATGAAACACTGTTCATATGAACAATACTAATTGTTCTTAAACAAGTTCATGGTGTTGTTAGCAAATGGAAGTAGATGGTATTAGGCACATACCGCCTGCTGGAGACCAGAGAGATAAATGGCGATGGAACAGTGATCCTGGTGAGGACACACAAACTCCATTGTTATGTCAACAATGCTCGGAATCACCATGAACATCGACAAGCTTCCGATGAATGTCGTCACGAACAGATGGTTTAAACTCATCATCTTCTCCATCTCTGTTGCTCTTAGCAGAAAAAGCAAAGCAACAGCTCCATTCTTGTTATTATAAGAAGTTCAAGTGAGGATCCTTCTGGTGTTTGGAGAATTGGAAACTTGGATTTGGGTTTGGCCAACCTACCATACACGAAAAGGTAAGATTGCAATATATACATATTTGTGGACTTTTTTGCAATTTTGTGAACTTTCTTGTTTGTTTTCAAACAGTTGTGGCGCAGTTAGAAGTCTCACACCGCCCAAATCTGGATGGAGAAAAAATGTGAATGAATGAATGAAAAGAACAGGCAATGTGGCAATTAATTAGCATGAGAGGAGGAATAGGTTCCTTCCAAGTCTTGCGCATGAAGGAATTTTCGTAACTCAAGGACTTTGATTTTGGTTTAACCATGGTTACTCTGTTACATGCATGGTCAAAAAGTACTCCTTTTCTTTTCTTCTTTAGAAAAATTACGTTTTGCCCCCTCGAGCAACGTTCTATAAGTTCGTGAATTTTCGAACGCGTATTTCTAGGAAGTATGACGTTTTAGAAATATCATGTCTAGGTTTGTCAGACATGAAATGCCTCAGAATGTACTATAGGAGTATACGACAACATTTTGACCTCGAAATTTGAAAATGGATTATTAGGTATATTTGGTATCGTCCTAGATTTGTTCGGCCACAGGGTTAGCTGGTCACCTTAACACAGAAGTCCATATTGAGTGGACCTACGACCAGATTCTCACCTCGACAATGTTTTTAATTTATCGATTTCTATAATTAACCACCTAAGTAATATAAGGTGTTGGAGATTAGACCCATAATTTATCTGTGATTTTCATATAAATCTTATCTACATGAAAAATGGTAACAAAGTATTCACAAGTTCCACATGGCATCCAAGTGTCAATTGTGAAAGTGAAACATCTATTGAGCCACATCAGGCTACTCACACGTACTGGTACACAATTTACACATTGCGTTTATGTACTCGTACGTGGTCCATGATCTAGCTAAATCACGACACATTGTGCATCACCCAACTTTTATACTTTGTTTCAAAACTACCCTTCGGTATTGATGAGGTAAATTGATATGAACGAAGACACTCAATCCTACACCATTAATGTTACTTTAAAAATAATCAAGTTTTATTTATGCAACAAAAGCTTCACGATAATTCAAGTGAGGCTTTATTTATTCTTAGATAGTTACAAATCTATGATGGAACCCCTTAATCTACGATGGAACTCCTTAGATAGTTATATAAAGTCAATGCTTCTCTCTCGTTTGTTTAGAATCATTTAAGTTTGACATAATCAATATTAGTGGTTGAATGATTTAAATCTCAAATTGTTTTTAGCTTGAAATATTCAATCAATAAGATAATTTGAATTTTATCCGAAAATGTACCGAAAGACTGTATTCAATGGTTTTTCCGAAAAAGTTATCCAAATTGGGTGGGTGGGTAGACCATTATTATTATTGTTTCTTCCTATTTATTTATTATTATTTTGTTGTTTTTATGTGATTAATATTATTATTATTATTATTTCGATTATTAGTGTTAAAAAATGTATATAGTTATTTCCATTATAAGTTTAAATAAATATATTTTTGGATAAGTTATTATTTGGATTATAGTTGAAATAAATATATTAATGTAATAAATTTGTTAAAAGTATTTGCGTAATCAAACAAAAATAGCATTTATGTGCATGAAATCTGATAGTCAACACTACCATTTATGACCCTCCTAAATTGTTTTTTAAATCAATAATAAAAAGAAAAAGCAAGAAAATATCAAGTTTATATAAATTTCTTTAGTTTATCATCTACTTTTCACATAAATTTTCAAAATCCACAATAATCAAAGCATGTAAGAACTTATTTGATTTGTCTTTTGGCAAATAATTCAAATTTGACAAATTTACGCTAATATGTATTAAAAATGTTTGATTAATCTACCCCGAAGCTATTTCATCTTCGGACCAAAAGCAGGCAAGGGGTGGAATACCACAAAGAAAACTGGAGAATAACCAACAACCGATTCCATTGAGTGAATAATGGACCCAGATCCTAAAAACAACAAAGCTTTTGAATAAGCATGAGTAATCAAATGAAATAAAGCAGCTCGATAAGACCCTGTACCCAAAGCTAACATCATATAACCCAATTGAGACATTGTAGAATAAATAGAAATAACAATAAATTGAGAGATATTTATGGTAATAAGGTAAATATCTAATACTTGTCTTATAATAAAATATCAAATATAATATATATGGTAAACCATAATTTATAACTAAATATTCTTAACACCTCACCGCAAGCTAAGCATCAGATTTAAACGAACATGAAGCTTGAATTTGAAAAATTCAAAGAGGTTGAGAAACACTTTTTGTGAAGATGTCAACCTGTTTCAGGGGAGGCGCTTTCTTGGCCATCGAAAATTGTAGAGTGATCGTCGCTCAGCGGCGATGCTGCCTTGGATTCATGCTTAGTGACGATGCTGTCTTGGCTCTAGTGAGAATATGTCTAACCCCAAGAAGTAGAAGGGGAAACCTAGAACGAGGGACAAAGACAATGTTAAAGCCGGAAGAGTCGCCACATTGGGCAAAGGATATAGAAATAGTAATAAATGGAAATAACAATAAATTGAAAGATACCTAAGGTAATAAGGCAAATGTCTAATATTTGCCTTATAATAAAATATCAAATATAATATATATAGTAAACTATAATTTACCGGATTGCGTTCACGTGACAAAATCTTATATTCGTAATGAAAATTTTATATTTAGGGTTTAGGGTTTCCTGAGTTCTTTTGTGTATATTTAATAAAGAAAAATTTACATTTAGGATTTAGAGTTTAATTAATTATTCTTGAAAATTTTACATTTAGAATTTAGGGTTTAATTAGTTGTCCGCGCAAAATTTACATTTAGGGTATAGAGTTTAGAGTATATTAGTTTTTCGTGAAAATTTTACATTTAAAGTTTAGGGTTTAGAGTTTAATCAGTTTTTTGTGAAAATTTTACATTTAGGGTTTAGGGTTTATTAAAGTTTAATTAGTTCTTTATAAAAATGGTACATTTAAGGTTTAGGGTTTAGAGTTTAATTAGTTATTCGAAAAAATTATACATTTAGGGTTTAGGGTTTATAGTAGAGTTGGTTCTTCATGCAAATTTTACCTTTAAGATTTAGGTTTCATGCGTTCCTCGTTCATATGTAACAAATAAAATTTACCCCTAGGATTTAGAGTTTTAATTAGTTGATCGTTCAAAATTTACATTTAGAGTTTAGGGTTTAGAGTATAATTAGTTCTTCAGGAAAATTTTACATTTAGGGTTTAGGGTTTAGAGTTTAATTAGTTTTTCGTGAAAATTTTACATTTAGGGTTTAGGGTTTAAAGTTTAATTAGTTCTTTATAAAAATTTTACAAAGTTTAGGGTTTAGAGTTTAATTAGTTATTCGTGAAAATTATACATTTAGGGTTTAGAGTTTAGAGTATAATTAGTTCTTCGTGCAAATTTTACCTTTAGAATTTAGAGTTTAATTAATTATTCATGAAAATTTTACATTTAAGATTTAGATTCCTCGTTCATATGTAATAAACAAAAACTTACATCTAGGATTTAGGGTTTTAACTAGTTGATCACGCAAAGTTTACCTTTAAAGTTTAAGTTTTAGAGTATAATTAGTTCTTCGTGAAAAAATTTTACATTTAAAGTTTAGGGTTTAGAGTTAAATTAGTTCTTCGTGAAAATTTTACCGTTTAGGATTTAAAGTTTAATTAGTTATTCGTGAAAATTTTACATTTAGGGTTTAAGGTATAATTAATTTTTAGTGAAAATATTACATTTAGGGTTTAGGGTTTAGAGTTTAATTAGTTCTTCATGAAATTTTTACATTTAAGACTTCGGGATTTAATTAGTTCTTGGTGAAAATTTTAGACAGAAGATTTAGGGTTTAAAGTTTAATTAATTCTAAAATTTAACGTTTTTGATTTAGGGTTTAAACTAATTAATTCTAATGGCAAATGGAAAAGGTAAAAAAGAAGAAGATGATGGACACAAAGATTTGTCGATTAAGTTCATAAAAATGGAAGCAACAAATTCAAATCAGTCCTCCATCAATGGAAATTGGGTTCGACACAAGGGGCAAGAATCGGAATTATCAAGCCACCTGAAGATGCATGATTCGTGATACACATGTCCGCACGGAGTTCTTATCACCTCGCTCCCTTCGCACTTCATCTCATCCAAACAGATACTGCAATTTCCTAAATCCACTTCCTCCTCCTCCTTCTCCTCCACTTTCTCCATTCTATACCTCCCATTCGCCGCCGCTACTTCCTCCACAACCTCCCTCCTCTCCTCCGCCGCTCTCCCGCCCTGCATCACCGGTACCGCTTGCAACCTCCAAAACCTGGACTCCACGACGTTATCCACCACCGCGACGACGTGAACGTTCGTATCATTGTGTTCTTCCGCCAGTTGGAGAGTGAACGACGCGATCTGTGCAGCGATGACTTCGGAAGCTACGGCGCCGATGTTGAGCGATAAAAGTATCTCCGCAATGTAGATCTGTAAGAACACCGGATCGATATTCCGTGCGTTCGGAGGCAGAGGAAACAGACTGTTCCGCAGAGGAATCGGAGCAGTTTCGAGGACGATTTGGTTTAAATCGCCTGAAATCAGACGTATGTAAGAACGCATTTGAACTTCCAGAGTAGGAGGCGATTGCTCGTCGCCGTCGCTGTGAAGATCGTGCTGAATCGGCGAAGAAGTAGCGGAAGACATCATGAATCGATTGCTGCAGTTGATTGTGATTCGGAGAAAGGAATGTTGATTTAAATAAGAGGAGTTGAATTCAGATTGATTTAGGAAATTTTGAATCACTGGATTACCGATTTGGAGACGGATTAGGAAAATTCTGGATTAAAGATCTGGAGCAGATAAGGAAATTTTATCAGGTTTGAATGCTACTTCAAATTAGTTCTTATCAACGGTAAGATCATATTTTCCTAATTTCTCGTTTTATTTAGATTCTTATGTCTTAATATCATGGTTTGAACCACTAATTTTCAGATTATTTGTTCACTAATTACTACGAAGTAAGTATGAGAAATAACATAAATAATCGTAAAAAAAAATTATATTTAAAAAATAACAAAATAAATTAAAAAATAAATAATAGAAAATCAAGATAAATAAATAATTTGGAAAGAAATAATATAATTAGAATAAAAAAATAAAATAAAGCACAAAAGTGAGTGATTTACTTATGCAATTTAAAAAAAAAAAAATTATGCATGTATTAAATACAATATTAAAAGTTGAGAATTTACTTAATTAACTCGTAGTTATAAGTATTGCAAAAGATAGATTTGAGTACATTTTGATCGAATCATACATAACTCGAAATTGTGGACACATATTCCTTCGGGGTCCATGCAGATTCGAATCTCCTTTCTTTTCGTGCAGGGAAGCTTTTACTTTAAGTACTTCAAAATACATCAATTTTAGCTCAACTTTTTTGTAAATCTCTATCGCAAACTTAGAAAAGAACTTATTTTTAAATTGAATTTTTGTTAAGTTGCGTTTAAACTAGATACTTGGAATACTATTGGGTTAGATAGTGTGTTAGATGAAAGTTTCCTACATTGGTTAAGTTAGGAAATGATCCTGCGTTTATATTCTAAGAATATACTCTTCATTGGTATGAGGCCTTTTGGGAAGCCCAAAGTAAAATCATGAGAGCTTATGCTCAAAGTGGACAATATCATACCATTGTGGAGAGTCGTGTTCGTCTAACAGTGTGCACTTGCACTTGACTTCGGTATCCCATCATTAACGTCTCAGATTAGGGTTTTGTTATTAGGGTTGATAATGTAGTTGTAGATCCTTCCAGAACTCAGGCCATCAAGTGTTGGCAAGGGCCCAAGACCTTGGACATAGGGTTGCCCTCTTTTGAGATTAGTAGCTATTCCAAATCACGGATAGTGACATGGACGGACACACCAGCACTTAAAAGTACGATAGTTTTAAAAAAAACAATTACGTAGCTGGCATTCATTCCACAAGATCATAAAGTCATACCGTAGCTAGGAGAGTGACTCGGTATGCAAGCCAACTAAGTCCACCGTGTAGTCCCTCGTCTCACTCAAGACGGTTTTACGGAAAAGTAATTTAGACAATTTGATATCAATTTATAATAATTTTTTCTCAATTTCATTTCAAATCAGCTTAAAAATCATCTAAATAAAAAGATCATAAAGTCACAATGAATTTGGGAGAGTGACTCTGTAGGCCGACCAATTAACTAATTGGGTCTATTATATAGTCCCTCGTCTCACTCAAGACATGTTTACTGAAAAGTGTCCCTAATAAGTAAATTAATTTCATTTTGAATGTTGTAATTTATTTTCAATTTTTTTACCAACAAATTATTTTTATGAAACAAATTAATTAAACGCGAGAGGGACGAGACTTTCTATCCTTTGCTTTTCACTCTCAAGACAATGAAGACAAATCTCGATAGAAAATGAAGTCAAGGAATAATAAATAGGAAAGTGGATTATTCAAGAATGGAAGTCGAGTTTTCTAAGTATGAGCTTGTCACACCGACTTATTTCGAGCCTCAACAACAAAGGAATTGGCATTTTCGGGGACTCCTTTCAAAGATAGAGGCACCGGTCGATTTGGGTTAAATAAGTCAAGTTGGCTTGATCATAATTTTGATGATATTAGAAAGTCTTCAATTTTTCAAAATAATTTTTCTTTCTAGGTCAAGAGAAAGGGTTAATCTAGCGTAAACAGGTCTGTGTTCTGCTTTTAAAGTGATTGTGGTGGGTCTAGTTGTTTTGGGGACAAAGGTATCATCTTTTTAACAACAAACGGAAATCCCCGATACAAATTGAGAAATGCTCCGTATGGATTAAAACAATCATCGAGACCATTTCGCGCGTTTTGGGAGCACTTGAGTCAGCTCCTCTTATTTTTTTTATTTTTTATTTTTGCTGGAAGATAATAGCGAACGAAGCAACTTTACCGAGTTCTTCAAGATCTTGGATGCTAGTCGGGTCCACTTCAAGAATGACTTAGTGTACAATTAAAAATTTCTATACAAAAATTAGATTGGAACTCTCTTTTGCCCGCGCTTAATTATATTATTCTTTTATATATCGACCCATTTTTCTAATACAAAAAGTAATCCTTTTTAAGTTCTAAAAATAGAATTAAAAATAACTTATCTTAGTTCATATAAATCATTACCAAAATTACAATATATAAAATTATGATGAATTAATTAGCTTTAAAAAAATGGGTAACTATGGAGAGGGAATATTTTAATTTGTCCCTAATTGAAGGGGCAATGAGTTAAGTCATTAGTTGGATGGACCCATATGAACAAGGACATGTCTTATTGATATGCCCCTCAAGTCACAAACATGTTAGCTTCAAAAGTCGATGTAATAATGTGATCTTCGTTAGAGGCTTTTGACTTTGACCATAAATAATAGTTGCATGGAGTCAGGGAGCCAATAACACTTAAACATATGTTGTTTTTAAATGTCAATTTAAGTATAGCTCAATTGAATAACATATATATTTTCAACTATTTAGCTCAAAAGATGTTGAACTCTTAACAAACAAACCAACAAAACGTCTCTGAAAAATCTCTAGGTGGGGTTCGATTTTTTTAGTTGGATTGGATTGAGTATTTAGAAAAAATAAAAATTTAGGTCGATTCGCGAGTTGATATTTTTTTTGTCAAGTTAATCTGACCAACTTGAAAAATAAAGTTACAACTCAATGATTTTATTTGAAAACACAAAATGTTTTTGAAACAAAAAAAATCGAAACAACAAGAATCATAAGAAGATTTATTATTTGTATCCTATGATACAGAAAAAGATGATATAGAATCAAGGTGCCATTCCTTACTATTATTCTTTATTTTAGTACTTTACTAGAATAGAATTAAAAAACTTGTTAATTTTTTAATTAAAATGAGTCCTCTTTTCCTAATCTCATCAGTCGCCCTGATGAAAATACGTCAACGTTCGAATTTTCATGATTCTTTTCTGATCCGATCTTTTTATTAGACTCTACTTACTTTTAAGATTATTACAAAAAAAAATTAAGAATATTTGATATTTAAGTTTTATAAGATTTTATTTATTGATGTAATACAGAGTAGATAAATAAGATTTTTTTAAAATAACTATAAAAAAAAAAAAAAAACTCTACAACCCAATTCGACCCAACTCGATTGGGTTGTGAGCTCTATTCGAATTGCTCGGGTTACTAATCCAACCAATCTAAAGTTTTGGGCTGGATTAAAATCTCTCTCTAACGCAACTCAAACCAAACAGTATAAACCTTTAATCCTTTCATTTAAATATCTCTAATGTTATTTTAAATCACTAAATTTTATGAATTATAATATACATGTGGTTTTAAAAAACATATATAATAAAATTTCTAAATTGATTTATTTATAAAAATTTATAAAAATTATTCGACAAAACTATTAAATTTGATTTTTTTTTTTTTTTTTTTTAAAAAAAATCTTTGGGAGTAGAAATTCCAAGGATGATGGGCCCTATGTCGGCAAAGCCTAAACTTTGGACCCAATGGGTTTTCCATTAAAGTGGGCCCACCCTGATTTCCAAATCTAACTACGTCATTTCCGCGTTCCTTCTGCCATTAGTGGATAAAATAGTTTATTAAATCCACTATTTTAAAAAATATAAATAAATAAATAAACCTTTTTTTTCTCAAAATAATAAATACTTTTATTATTTTAAGAATTTAAGATTTTTTAAAGCTTGAAATCTGTCCCAATAAAAAGGGCAAAAGAAAAATTATAAAAATTAGACTAAAGCCACCTCTTCCATGTATATATTTATATATAAATTTGAATTTGTTTTCACACCATTTGTAAATTAATTTTATTTATTTTTTAAAAAATTTAAATTTATATCACTTTCAAATAAAAGAAAAGTACACGAACAAATAGAAACTATATTAGAAAGAGAACGATCGTGAGATGATTCATTTTTTAAAGAAATTAAAAATTACTTTCTATATCAACAAAAGTCATCTTCTTTTCAGTGACTCAATCATAGAAACTTCATAATTATGTGTGTTTTTCTTTGAGTAATTCTAAGTCGGGTGATGTCCTGAAAATTTGTCTAAGATGCATAAAAGTACTCGTGTTGGTTTGTGAAGTAGTTTTCACTAATAACATGACAGTGTCGGTCGGAAAATGTCAAAGTCATTAAGTGTTAATTTCAGATTTCTGATTTAGGTCGTTACAATTTATGTCTAATTTTTGTTAGGTAAAAGTTAACAATAAAGTTTCATCCAATAAGAAAATATTTTTAATTTTCTAACGACAAGAATCAGCCGCACGTGTAAACTTTGTCTCACTCTGACAAGGAATCCAAGAGTGATACGTGTGCACGTGGCGCGTCGCTGCAATCGCTTACAGCGTGTACAATCCACAGGACGATCAAACTCGCAACTAAACTAACTGCCGTTTAGTTATTTATTTATTTTATTATTACGCTTTTTTTATAAACAACAAAACAAACTGCCGTTTATCTTTAAATAGACAGAAACTAATTTCCGTTAAATGCATACAGGATATATTATGGTCCACGCCTCACGCGCCTCCCATGACCATGAATTTGCCACCACAGCGCACCGTCCACCTGGCATTTAGGTGGGCCCCTGCCTTGCTGATTTTTCCATTTTTCCTATAGCACACATTGACACTTGTATCAAACCTGTTCCAATAGTTTTATATACATTATTAATTATTGTATTATTCTAATAATTAATTAATGGTAGTAAATATTAAGAATTTAGTAGGTTAATATTATTGTCCGTTTTGGCCCGTTATATAACATGTCGGTCTCAGTTTTAAAATGCAATCGCACATTGATTGAGGAGGAGAACAAAACATTTTTTATAAAAGAGTTGAAACCTCTCCCTAACATACGCGTTTTAAAATCGTGAGGTTGACGATGATACATAACGAG